TTGGAGCGACCTATAATACCAGGCGTAGAAATAGTACTGGTATGTTACTGGTATGTCTCTTGGTGAAGCCCTCGTCTTTACCCACCGAGGGCGGTGTGCGAACGAGGTGCCTGTTGTGTATACCTGAAAGTTACAAGGAGTCCCATACCTGCAGGGGTGGAGTGTAACAGGTGTGTTGAGATGGTGCTACTATGTATGATAACCGACGGTGCTATATTCCATACAGGTGGAGCAGTCTGATGTGTTAAGGGATAGTGTAAGAAGGAATGTTAGTAAATGTTAATTTGTGGGCCTTCCTCCCTCCCTCCTGGTAAGATAACATTATGTATGGCTGTGTTAAGGTAATAACTAAGACACAGTACAACTAACGTGGTCGTCTGGTTTATTATTGTTAGTAAATGTTAATTTGTGGGCCTTCCTCCCTCCCTCGTGATAAGTTAACATTATGTGTGGCTGTGTTAAGGTAATAACTAAGACACAGTTCAACTAACGTGGCCGTCTGGTTTATTATTGTTAGTAAATGTTAATTTGTGGGCCTTCCTCCCTCCCTCCTGGTAAGTTAACATTATGTATAAGAACATAAGAATGGAGGAAACTGCAGCGGGCCTATTGGCCCATACTGGGCAGTCCCGTTTACACCCAACCCCTATTGCTCATATGAGCATCCAACCTATGTTTGAAGCAATTCAGCGTATTCGAGTTAATGATGATGTTTGGTAACTTGTTCCATTCATCCACTACTCTGTTTCCAAACCAGTGTTTACCTATTTCTCGCCTAAATCTAAATTTATCTAATTTAAAACCATTGTTACGAGTTCGCTCCTGGTTGGATAGTTTGAGTACCTTTGTAATGTCCCCTTTGTTTAGCCCTGCCTTCCACTTATACACCTTTATCAGGTCGCCCCTCGCTCTACGTCTCTCGAGGGAGTGCAAATTAAGATGCTTTAACCTGTCTCTATACTCAAGGTTCCTAATGCCTGGGATTAGTCTTGTCATTCTCCTCTGAATTCTTTCCAAGGATTCTATATCCATTCTGTAATACGGTGACCAGAACTGAACTGCGTAATCCAGGTGTGGTCTCACAAGAGCAAGATACAGTTTTAGGATGACCTCGCTAGTCTTGTAACTAACACTCCTTTGTATGAACCCAAGTACTTTATTAGCCTTGTTACGAGCAAAAACACATTGTTTACTTGGCTTAAGGTTCCTACTTATCATTACTCCTAAATCTCTCTCGCAGTCGGATTTCTCTATGGCATCGTTGTTCATCTGGTATCTGGTTTCCCTGTTTACATCTCCTATACTGAGTACTTTACATTTGTCGACGTTGAATTTCATCTGCCATTTTTCAGACCATTCGAAAAATTTGTTTAGATCTTCCTGTAGTTTTGCCGAGTCCTCGTCAGATTTGATAACACGTCCTATTTTAGTGTCATCAGCAAATTTACTTATGTTGCTGTCTATGCCGATATCTATGTCGTTTATGTATATAATAAATAATAATGGTCCAAGTACTGAGCCTTGGGGAACTCCACTTGTGACGTTGCTCCAATGGGACTTAGTGCTGTTAATGCTCACTCGCTGTTTCCTGTCCTGTAACCACGCCCTAATCCATTTAAGGATGTCACCTTTGATGCCATGAGCTTCTACCTTTCTAATTAGTCTTTCGTGGGGGACTCTGTCGAAGGCTTTGCTAAAGTCGAGATATACCACATCATAATTGTGCCCCTCGTCCACCGATTCGAAAACTGATGAAAAGGATGTTAATAGATTAGTTAGGCAAGAACGTCCGCTTGTGAAGCCATGCTGGGAATCATTGATCAATCGGTGCTTCTCCAGGTGATTTCGAATAGAGTTTGAAATGATTGCTTCCAGTAATTTGCCTACTATTGATGTTAGACTGATTGGGCGGTAGTTAGAGGATAGTGATCTATCCCCTTCTTGAAAATCGGTATTACATTCGCTATCCTCCAGGATTCTGGTACTACACCTGTTTTTAATGACATGTTAAACAACTTTGCTAAGGGCATACTAAGCTCTTCCTTACATTCCTTTAATACTCTGGCAAATATCTCATCGGGACCAGGTGACTTATTTGGCTTTAGTTTGTCTATTTGCTTACTAACATCGTTGCTAGTCACTACTATCCCACTAATTTGTTTTCTTCACTATCTCTGTATGGCTGTGTTAAGGTAATAACTCAAGACACAGTACAACTAACGTGGCCGTTTGGTTTATTATTGTTAGTAAATGTTAATTTGTGGGCCTTCCTCCCTCCCTTGTGGTTAAGTTAACATTATGTATGGCTGTGATAAGGTAATAACTAAGACACAGTACAACTAACGTGGTCGTCTGGTTTATTATTGTTAGTAAATGTTAATTTGTGGGCCTTCCTCCCTCCCTCGTGGTAAGTTAACATTATGTATGGCTGTGTTAAGGTAATAACTAAGACACAGTACAACTAACGTGGCCGTCTGGTTTATTATTGTTAGTAAATGTTAATTTGTGGGCCTTCCTCCCTCCCTCCTGGTAAGTTAACATTATGTATGGCTGTGTTAAGGTAATAACTAAGACACAGTACAACTAACGTGGCCGTCTGGTTTATTATTGTTAGTAAATGTTAATTTGTGAGCCTTCCTCCCTCCCTCCTGGTAAGTTAACATTATGTATGGCTGTGTTAAGGTAATAACTAAGACACAGTACAACTAACGTGGTCGTCTGGTTTATTATTGTTAGTAAATGTTAATTTGTGGGCCTTCCTCCCTCCCTCCTGGTAAGTTAACATTATGTATGGCTGTGTTAAGGTAATACCTAAGACACAGTACAACTAACGTGGTCGTCTGGTTTATTATTGTTAGTAAATGTTAATTTGTGGGCCTTCCTCCCTCCCTCGTGGTAAGTTAACATTATGTATGGCTGTGATAAGGTAATAACTAAGACACAATACAGTAAGTAAGTAAAGTGGATTTATCGTCCTGTGTACCACCATCAGGGCCGTGGGCTCGTAACACTCGTCATGCCCACGGTGCCCACAGTTAAGAATGGAGGAAACTGTAGCTGGCCTATTGACCCATACTGCGCCTAAGTTTGTGTGTGGATGTGGGTCACCTCGATTATGCGGTTCAGTTCTGGTGCCCTTATTATAGAATGGATATCAATTCACTAGAGTCGGTGCAGCGAAGAATGACGAAAATGATTCCGGGACTTAGAAACCTTACATATCAGGATAGGTTAAAGAAACTTAACTTGCATTCCCTAGAAAGACAAAGAGTGCCGGGAGATATGATAGAAGTATTTAAGTGGGTGAAAGGAATCAATAAAGGGGATATAGATAAAGTTCTTATAATATCCGAGCAGGATAGGACTCGGAGCAACAGATTTAAGTTGGATAAGTTTAGGTTTAGGAGGGAGATAGGAAGAAACTGGTTCACAAATAGGGTGGTGGACGAGTGGAACAAGCTCACCAACTTTGTAGTAAGTGCTGGAACTCTGGAAAGTTTCAAAAGGAGGCTAGATAGATTCATGGATGATAGAGAGTGGTAGTAACTCTCAACAGGAGCTGCCATGCACAGGCCAACCGGCCTATTGCAGACTCCTTATGTTCTTATGTTCTTTTGACCCGTTATAGTACAGTGACCCCTCGGTTAACGAACTCAATCCGTTCCAGAAGGTCGTTCGTTAACCGAAACCATTGTTTCAATGGGTTTTTGGGTAATTGGTTCCAGCTCACCAAAAATTGCCTAAATTCAACAAAAATGGTAGAAAAGTTCACTTACTTTGAGGTGTGTATGTAGAAGGCTCCTGGATGATGATGATGGGAATTAGAATGGGGGTGGAGGAGAAGGAAGAAGAGAAGGCATTGGGGTGGAAGAGAAGTCACCCCATGGCACTATTTCACCCATAAAATTTTAGTTCTCTTGGTGTATTTGAAGATTATTTTCTTTAAATCAACACTGCACTGCATTATATATTGTCAATATGTAAATTAAATTTCAAAATGATCAATAATTTGCTTGGAAACACAGAAAAAAAGCGTTTAGTTGAAGAGAGTCTCAAGCAAGATGTTGCCTCCAGTGAAAACAGAGAGAGACTAACGCCTGTTTGCTGTGTTAAGAGGCTGGATGCCGCACATTAATCTAGTCACTTTACCTTCAATTATGTTCAATAATTGTTAAAATGACTAAAAAATTGAATATTAAACTTTTAAAATTATTGAATAGTATAAACTTCTTGATATTTACTAAAATAGTAAGGAATTTAAGCCCTAAAACCGATTAATGTATTGGCGGACTGATACTAAAGCTGGTTGCCCGGCCAGTGCAAGCGAAAACATGTTGAGGTCGGTTCGTAAGAAATTCGTTAACTGAATTTTTGTTCGTTAACCGAATTGAAGATCCTTATGGAAGGCAGTTCGTTAACCGAAATTTCGTTAACCGAGGCGTTTGTTAAACGAGGGGTCACTGTACATCCTTCTTTACTCACACAGCCAAACTGTGTCTGTGTGGATGTGGGTCACACTATAATAACCCGTTCTAGTACATCCTTCTTTACTCACACAGCCAAACTGTGTCTGTGTGGATGTGGGTCACACTATAATAACCCGTTCTAGTACATCCTTCTTTACTCACATAGCCAAACTGTGTCTGTGTGGATGTGGGTCACACTATAATAACCCGTTATAGTACATCCTTCTTTACTCACACAGCCAAACTGTCTCTCTGTGGATGTGGGTTACACTATATTAACCCATTATAGTACCTCCTTCTTTCCTCACACTGTGGAATGCTCTGCCTTCTGTGTTTCCATACCCATGCAATCTGTCACTTCAAAAAGCTGGTTTTCCGTCATCTTTGCGGTGTAGATTAATATAACCTTTTTATTTTATACTTTTAAATTATTTTTACTCTTATTTTACACAAATTGATTTAGTCACTTGTAGTTTTCATTTATAAATTGGACTTTTATAAGAATATTATCTAAGGCAAAATATTTTGTTTCAGATACTGTGATGTCACATCTCAAGACCAAGTGTAACTAAGAAGAAGTTCACAATGTCAAGCAGAGGTAAAAAGTTATCCTGTGAGGAATGTGGGAAATGTTTCTCCTGGAAGAGTAATCTCAAGAGACACATTCTTGTACACAATGGTGTGAAGGAGTTTGAATGTGAGGAATGTGGGAAATGTTTCTCCTGGAAGAGTACTCTCAAGAAACACATTTTTGTGCATGAAAAAAACAGAATTCAATAAATGTTTGAATGACTTTAACAGAAGGTAAATGTGACACATAAACTTGAATACAGTGGTATACATCAATATAAAACCACTTGAACAAACTCTATGAATGTACCAGAAATAAAGACAAGTGACAAATGCCACTTTTATAGATATTAAGCACAAGTTATAATTATCTACTCTTAAGATGTAAATTTCTTCTACCATGGCCTTGGTGTAGACATTTGGTGTTGGTTAAATATCACTCATAATAATAATGTTGTTTACAGTACAGTAGTAAGCAAAGGTTAAACTTATCATCTATGTGCTTAAAATTTCATCTTTACTGGATAAGTTGTGTTGAACATTGATGAACTCTCATTTACTATAATTTGTGCATCAGTAGTTGTGTCAACTGTGTACGTCTGTCTTTATTTACACGTGACGTAAGTTTTATCACAAGTACAGGTTGTACCTCTCTAGTCCGGCATTCTGTGGTCCGGAAACTCCCGTGGTCCGGAACGATTTTAGTTTGTCCAATAGGTAGATAGGCAGCTTTTTTTTTTTTTTTTTTACTTGTCTGAATTATTATTATTATTACAGGAGTATTAAATTTTTGCCCCTCAGGCCCCAATGTGGGTCAGTGACCTATGCCCGGGTGGGCTAATCCCCGTAAAAAAAAACAACAACAAAGCCGCGGGAAATTAAGGTTTGTTTACATCCGGCAGTTCGGCTGCTCTCTCTCTCTCTCTCTCTGCTTGTCTATACAGAGTACAACATTTAACCCTTCAATATATATGAGCAGTAAATAAGTGTTGCTTTCATATTCTTATGTAGAGTAATGACGATATATTTTCACATGTGCGCACTTACATACGAGCAGTCTCACTTTTTTTTTTACCATTAATGGTTAGCTACTTATATTGTTCCATTTATTAACATTAAATAACATTACAGGTACTTTAAGCAACCATATTCATTTTTTACATTAATTTTACTACAGCTACAATCAGGGTCTTATTTTCTTCAGTTTTATATGTAGAACCAATCAGTCACTGGTTTCGTAAGCTTTAACATAAACAATGCCGGCAGCCGTCTCGTCTCCTCTAATATTCCACGTATTATTAATAAATTGTATTGTTAATTTTGCACACACGTACATTAATTCAATAAAAACAAATTCAGAAACATTAATTAAAATATATATGAACAGTAAATAAGTGTTGCTTTCATATTCTTATGTAAAGTAATGACGATATGTTTTCACGTGTGCGCATGCGCACTTACATACGCGATCTCTCTTTTTTCTTTACCATTATCGTTAGCTACTTCTATTGTTCCATTTATTAACATTAAATAACATTACTTAAAACAACCATATTAATTTTACTACAGCTACAACCAAGGTCTTATTTTCTTCAGTTTTATATGTAGAACCAGTCGGTCACTGGTTTTGTAATCAACGAAAACAATGCTGTGTCATTTCCTCATGTGTTTTAATTTTCTACGTATTATTAATGAATTGTATTGCTCATTTTGCACATATAAACATTAATTCAATAAAAAAGACATTCAGTAATCAATAATAATGAATCTTTTGTACTTAAGAGAAATGACGCTGTTTACACGATTATGCACGTTGTCTGCACGTTGGCGGGCCGTTCAAACCCGTCGAAATTCAAGTTTCCGCCGTCAAAATTTTTATTTATTTATTTTTTTGTGTGTTCCAATAAAATACGTTAAGAATTAAAAACTCGCGAAATTTGAGAAGCTACTATACGACATTTAACCCTTCAATATGTCTTCAAAGAGACCATGATGCAGAGAAAGTGGTGCTAGTGCTTCCAGGCATAAGCAAAAGTCACTATCTATCCAGGAAAAGGGTGAATTTCCATGGTCCGGCACCGGTCAGGTCCCGAGGTTGCCGGACTAGAGAGGTATAACCTGTACGTACATTAACACGGGTAGTAAATCATCTTGGTAAAGTAGTACAGTGGTGGTAGACCATTTGTTATCGTCAAGGTGTTGTCATTATCTCACGGAAACTCTTCAATCTCTCTTGAAATTGTACGTAAATATTTGATAAGTTTTGCTCAACTCTGACGAGATATTTTGATATTTTATCTTTACTAAAATGGTTGGTAGTTTTGATTCATGTTTTAAATATATTCTTTCATCACTTACAGATATATGGTACCATTGTCTGGTAAATAATGGTTAGGGTTCATATATAGTACCTGGTGTTATGGTGCAGATGAACTTTAACACCTCTTAACTGTATATAATATCATGTTTAATATATTGTTCAGTTAGCATCTTGTACCTTAGTTAGGTAACTCTTCTTGGTTATATATAAATTCATCCTTGGGCAGTCATTTTCTTAAAGTAGCCAATGCTGAAATGTCAAACTCTGGGTTAAAATTTGTTTTTAAATCATGTCAAGCAGAAGACTTGTTGAAATTAGCATATAGTATTTAGATATTTGCTGTTCTTATATACAACTTTTCCTAATAGTACTGGCTTGTGTTTATCTAACAATGGTTTTTAAAAAATGATTGCTACAAGAATGGAATTAATTTTGTGGACATGAATATAGAGTTTTATGTTAATACAGGCTGTCCCCAACTTACAACAGGGATAAGTTCCTGGACCCATAGTTTAGGTTAGGTTAAAGCCCATACAAAACAACAATAATATCCCATATATAAAAAAATAATGTAAATAAAGTGATGTTAAACAATATATAATTATAAACTAATGAAAAAATTGGGATTTTAATTTAAAAAAATTGCAGTGAATGTGATCCCGTTCATAAGTGCGGGTGATGGTAAGTCGGACGGCCGTAACTCAGGGACTGCCTGTATACACTTTATGTTTGGCCATGATGTGCCACAAACATTAATATCTTACAGAATGACATATAAGTATTTAAACTATTGCTGAATATTTTATTTTACCCCCAATATTGTAGAACATGTGTACAATAATGGCTGGTCTTCAGATACTGTATGTGGATATCTTGAATTAATATTGCTGTAATTGCCCTAAAATTCATTATGAGTAAAGAAGCAGTAAAATAATAGGTTTTTGTATTTATGGGATCTAATGAGCAGAAGATTCCATGGCTGGTTTATATTTTGAGTTGAGAGCCAAATGTTAGATTGGTCTGGACGACGCCCGGGGAGGAGCCAAGGTAATATTTATGATAATTTACTGTTTTATGACCGTAATTATTGCTGGAAATGAGTCTAGATAGAATATTATTAAATAACATGATGGCAAGGGTTGAAGGTGACTGCCAATAACTCATAGAGACGAGTGTTTTATATAAATTTGGGTCACTAGTGTTTACATTGTGTATACAGTAAACTGGAGTCAGTATTTATTGTCCAGATCACTTTCCTGGTGACTGTTTAAGTGTTTGACCAAGATTCAACATTGTCTTTGTTATATGTGAAGCTTTAACCCTGTACTGTACTAATCTATATTATACAGTACTGTATTGTATTGTACTGTATGTCAGTTGTAGCATTAATGAGGGACTACTGTACTGTACTGTACTGTACTGTTCTGTTCTGTTCTGTTCTGTACTGTTCTGTTCTGTACTGATACATATTATACTGTACTGATCCATATTATACTGTACTGTTCTGTACTGTACTATACTATACTGTTCTGTTCTGTTCTGTTCTGTTCTGTACTGTACTGTTCTGTTCTGTACTGATCCATATTATACTGTACTGTTCTGTACTGCACTTGGGGGTTAATATTCAGGTTCTATTTTCACACAGTCAAGGATGTAGTTTTGGAGTGTGTGGCCATATGTCTGGCCACACACTTCACATTTAGTGTTGTTCACATCTGCCTGAGGGACATACTGCCAGAGTGTGTGGCCATATGTCTGGCCACACACTTCACATTTAGTGTTGTTCACATCTGCCTGAGGGACATACTGCCAGAGTGTGTGGCCATATGTCTGGCCACACACTTCACATTTAGTGTTGTTCACATCTGCCTGAGGGACATACTGCCAGAGGTACTTATATCCTAACCTTAGTCTATCAGTTACAACATCTTATAATGTAGTGATGTTGTTACTTGCTCCATATACTTGTTTCACTTGATACACCTCATCATGGTAAACTATGGATCGACTAATGCCTGTTAGCACTCATCTGCTGCATTCATAAGAACACTGAACAAAGTGGCACTTTAAGCTAAGGTTTCTTTGCTCATAATGAATTTCAGATCAATTACATCAATATTAAGGGAGATATGTAGACTTTACCCTTCAATTTATAGAAATAAATGGAGCTGTAACGCCATTATTAATGGTACATCTGATGTACAGTACAGTACAGATGTCCATCATTAATACTACAACTGATGTACAGTACAGATGTCTCTCATTAATGCTTCAACTGATGTACAGTACAGTATAGCACAGTACAGAATAGTACAGTACAGATGTCCATCATTAATACTACAACTGATGTACAATACAGATGTCTCATTAATGCTACAATTGATGTACAGTACAGTATAGCACAGTATAGAACAGTACAGTACAGTACAGTATAGATGTCCCTCATTAATGTTACAACTGATGTACAGTATAGCACAGTACAGCACAGCACAGTACAAAACAGTTCAGAACAGTACTGTATAGTACAGTACAGTACACTACAGTATAGTACAGTTCAGTACAGAACAGTACAGTACAGTACAGCACAACACAGTACAAAACAGTACAGTACAGTTCAGTACAGTACAGATGTCCCTCATTAATGTTACAACTGATGTACAGTATAGTACAGCACAGCACAGTACAGTTCAGAACAGTACTGTAT